ACCGACTACTATGAAGTTCATCAGCCACGACTGCAACAGTATCTGCTTGGCTCTGATGATGATGCGTATACAGTTGAGTAAACACAGTTACAATAACCAGACACTGTAGTCCAGTGGTCTACGTCCTCAACTTGCAATCGAGGCTTCCAGGCTCGATACCAGGGGACAGAAATGGTTGGGGATATTTTCTTTTGCGTGATGGGTCTGTTCACTTAGTTACAAATAGGTTCCCATGAGTTGGGCAACTGTTGTGGGTTGCATCCTGGCCTTGGGGATCCCCGACAACGGGAATTTAATTACCACTGGGACAGTTACAGTGGCAAGTGAACCCCCAACCGCCTCTCCCAGACGCTCTCTATCTCTTTAGTACCGTCTTTCACCTAATTTCCACGACTTATTTTCCCTTTTAAAAGTAACATTCTCTCAATACGCCTTGTGAGACAAAGAGGGAGGGAGAGAGAGAAAGAGCGCGCAATCGCTTCCATTAGCACCCGTCTTCCTCCGTCGCTTCAACTCGCTCGGGGTTAGTCTCATATTACTGTTTACTTCCTATAGATTTATCTGTTTTTCATTTCCCCTTCTTCCTTCCTTTGAGCGTTTTCTGTTACAGTTTGTCCCACGCTCAGTTATCTTTTTGTAGTAATCTTACTTGGCGTTTCGTGTTATTGTTCATACTTTCTTAATTTGTTATAGTGTGTACCACTCTTTATTTCATATTGTAGCGTGTACCACTTTTCGTTATTTATTGTTGTCCTACTTTACGTTATTTTATCCCACTGTTCATTTTCTGATGTAGCATGTCCCACTTGTTGTTTCCTGACAGTATGTCCCAGCGTTCTCTGTGTGTTAAGCGCCCTGTATCGAGATCCTCTTAAAGGATAGAAACCAAATATTTTATTTAGATGTTTTATTATTTCCTTGGCATATAGAATTTTTGTTTGCTGTCAGTTTGCAACTAAAATTAACAATAATTGCTGAATAAACAGAGCCAAACCGTTAGGGATTGTCACATACACTCGACTACACTACACTACATTACTCACAGATAACACAATAGCGTGATGGGTCAAATGAACAAATCCACAAGGGCCGTGACGAGGGTTCGAACCTACGTCTGAGAAGATCCTAGACGCTGCCTTAATCAACTGAGCTACGACATGGTTAAAAGAACTGCAACCGGGAAATCATACACTCGACCCTTCCCTGCCCAGGGAGTCGAACCCAAGCAAAATCATCCTCACCTGTACCCACATGTGTAAATGGAAGGCCAAAATTAATGTAGCAAATATTGTGGATGTTGAAAACAAACTGTCGTTTATAAAGGTAAAACTCAGGCTTAAGTATAAGAGCTAGTTGATGATAAGTCTGAGTGTCTGACATTAGAAAATGTCAAGTCGTGCAACAGACAAGAATCCTTCTTCTGGACGTCTTTTAATAACTTCAAACGGAGGAGACACGAGGGACGACCAGGTGGTGCGGGGGGGGGGGGGGGGGGGGGAGGGGCACGAGGGACGACCAGGTGGTGCGGGGGGGGGGGAGGGGCACGATGGACGACCAGGTGGTGCGGGGGGGGGAGGGGCACGAGGGACGAGGAGAATAGAAACAAAGGATGAAATCCAATGAAATAATAAGAAATAATATCAACATTTAGCCTTCGGTAAAGACAGCGATAATTTTACGGGATGAAACGTCAAATTAAAAGTCTTTCAAGTTGGTATATAGCAAGAGAAAGACGGTCATTTTAAAGGATGAATAACCAAAGCAACATATAAAATGTTTAACAAATTAAAAAGAATCTAAAGCAAAATATTTGCAAAATGTGAACCAAAAGAGAAGCGTAGAACAGCCTCCTGAACACCTACAGGCGTATAAATGCCGGGAACTTGTAACTTTACCTTATACATATATTATTTATATTATATAAATAATATAAATATTGTAAATACTGAACAATGAAGACAAATTAGCGTTAGCTGTAAGGTAAATATCGTGAGAAAGCAGTAAGTCATTACTACTTTATAGCACTTAGAAGGGATAAGAGAGATATGAGTTTGGGATGGGACGGAGGAAAGGATCAACCACTTGGACAGGTCGGGGATTGAACGCCGACCTACAAAAAGCGAGGCCGTCGCTCTACCGAAGGACAGACGTGATATACTGCACAATATGTAGGGACATGCCAGTTACACCGGACACTCTCATTGTAGCGCCCGGATTATCTTAATTTTATTCAGGGTTTCTAGGTTTTCTTCACATTTTTGTCACTTTTTTATCACTCCACTATCTCAAAAACCTTCATTTCTTCTCTCGGTCTGTCATGCCTTAGCATTTCTCTCTGCACACCTTTTCTCCTTTTTCTCTTTCCATCAGCTTACCGTAACTCTTTGCTCCACCATCTCCCTGTACCCTCACCCCATCCTTGTTCCAGACACAGGTAAATTGTCCAACTTTCGTGGTGTGTGACAGTAGTAGCAGCAAGCGCTTCCACGCTGTCGTTATAATTCCCAGTGGCTGGTGCAGGGGCCCACTGGGGCTAATGGGTGGTCTGGTGGTAATGGAAGGGAGGGAAGGGAGGCTTGTCTTGACGGCAGTGTTAGTGGTGGCAGCAGGTGGGACTACAAGTTTAGTGGGCTGTGTAACTCTGTGCTTTGGATAAAGTGGTGGCAGAGAGTGGCTTCCCGGTGACTACTGCAGTAATCCTCAGTTTTGAGCACAGTGTGGGAGGGACTTGCCTTGGGCAGCTGTGTTAACGAGGCGTCTGATGTTACGGGTGTTGAGGCTTTTGTTTTTGACAGCAGTGTGAGAAATTTGAAAGCCGGTGTAGCAGGGGTCGCTCTTACGATCGAACAAACAGTTTGCACAAGTTGACCATCAATGTGCACACAAGCATACCAAAAAAATCTAGCCTAGACCAATTAATGAGTCATGCCTTTTGGTTATTTTCTCCTGAGAATTTCGTAGTTTGTAATACAAATGATTGGCTCATTGTATTAAATTTTATATGAACGTATTCCTTCCATACGACAGAGAAACATTTAGCGTGGGAACTGGTGGCAGTGGTGGGATTCCAAGATTGTTCAATTTTATATTTTCCAATAATCTGGAACAGGAAGCTTTTTAGACTTTCCAAAATCTCACTTGGGCCTAGGCCAACGTCTGACCTTTCCCAGGGTGTAACCCACAACAGTTGCCTAATTCTCAAGTACCTATTTACTGCTAGATGAAGAGGTGCATCAGGCGTAAGGAAACGTACCCGAATGTCTCTTCCTGTTGATACAGAGTTAAGATTTTTATATATACCTATTAGAATTGACAAATTCTCGGTGTACAAGCACTGAGAGCTTACTTTTAGTCGGTGACAATGTTCAGGACAAAAGTTATACGTATTGGTTAGCGAACACATCCACAAGGGCCGTGGCGAGGATTCGAACCTACGTCCGAAATCATCCCAGACGCTGCCTTAATCAGACGCTGTGTGATTAAAGAAGCGTCTGGGATGATCTCGGACGTAGGTTCGAATCCTCGTCACGGCCCTTGTGGATTTGTTCATTGATGCATCACGTTATTGTGATTTCTGTGTGTAATACGTATTGGTAAGCTATTGCAGGGACAGTAATATTCTTCCCTTCGGTCATAGGTCTTGAGCTCCACACCAAACTATGGCTGTATTAGATATTAAAGTATCTGTGTATATTTGTGCGCACGTTTAGTATAGTATTGTTTGATTTAGGAAGAAATGTGTGTTTATGAGCCATAATTAATAGTAATATATCGAGTGTTTGTGATGCGTGTAAATATATATGAAGTTGTGCTGAGCGGAGAAAGAGGAGCTTGATCTACCTCATCCCTTTGTGTGTACTTATACCTGAATAAACAACTTATTTCAATGATTGCAGTAAAATGTTTACAACAGATGGACACAGACCTTGTCTTCACAAATTAATATTGGCGGTAGGTGCAATATACCACGATAATCAAGGTAAACTCTGTAATATCATACATGCTAAAGTATTAATACATTACACGAATGATAAAGTTTAACCTTACGTTTCATCAACCTGAAGCGCGAGAGAATTGCAACCCGAAAGTTTAGCCATCAACCATACGTCCTTCCACTGAGTTATCCGGATGGATGAAGGGCTAACTTTTATGGCAGTGCTGATTACAGTAAACAAAATTTGTCTTCCAATGGTGAAGAATCTACATAAATGCTGACAGCTGAATTGTTCAACATCCTGAAATAATTTGAGTAAGATTTTTCCCCCAAAAAAAGCAAGTAAATAAAAAAGAGGAAAGATTCTCCGTTCTGATTTTTTTTTAATTAAAAGTAGAACATATACGTCAGGAAAGAGAGGGAAATAAAAGATTAAATTTACAAAACTACAGTGAAAAAGACATAACACTGAAACAATTAAAATACTTCAACACATGAAACAAGTATACTCTTGAATGTGTACCGCAGGTTGAATAGTGTGTCATGTTTGTTTCAAAGGATGTCATTGCATTTGAATTGCATTTAGTTTGCTAGATATAACTGTCTCTTCCCTCGTCTTTCTGTCCAAACACTGGGTTGCTGTGTGTCTGCCAATCTTTTTTTTTTTTGAGATATATACAAGAGTTGTTACATTCTTGTACAGCCACTAGTACGCGTAGCGTTTTGGGCAGGTCCCTGGAATACGATCCCCACCGCGAAGAATCGTTGTTACAACCAAGTACGCATTTTACTGTTGCGTTAAACAGAGGCTACAGTTAAGGATTTGCGCCCAGTAAATCCTCCCCGGCCAGGATACGAACCCATGACAAAGCGCTCGCGGAACGCCAGGCGAGTGTCTTACCACTACACCACGGAGACTGTAAAGCTTGATATATAATCTTGTTATATAGTTTGATATACATTGTGTTTGGACAGAGAGATGGTCTTGCCATCTCTGTCCGAACACTGGCTTTGTTATGTCCGTCTCTCCCGTTACCTTTCTGTCCAAATACACCGCATCACTTACTGATATAGTCATCCTGACCGGGATAGCGAGCCAGAATGTCTTGTGATAACGAGGCTTGGCGGACGGAGCGATCTGTGGTGTTGGTGGAGGAGGTCCAGGCAGACAACACCAGAGTAAGGAACACAACATGTAGCCCACAACACAGCCGCCACACGCACCCAACACACTCCTGCTCGTTTGCCATCACAGTGTGTTTTGTGCAACATCATTACACCATGGCAACTGAAGCTGTACCTTGGCCTCGTCCTGCCGTGTAATGTTTTATATGATCAGAATCTCATAAACAGAAGGTAATGTTTTCATAATGCTGACCTTCATATTTAAAGATATTTAGTAATGTTAGCAAGGATTATCGATCTCTTGATACCATTCCCTTGTTATTTGACTAAGGCTTTATTATCTATTTATTTAGAATATTATTATTAGCCAACCAAAATCAAGTTGGCCCAGACCAGTCAAGGCACCGTAACAACTTGCCGGAGCGTCCCCTTCCGCTCGCCACGACCACTAGAGAAGGACTGAGGCTCACATCTCTTGGACCCCCAGGAATCGCCGGTGCCAGAAGGCCCCCTTAGTGCGCACGCGCAGGGAGACCCTATTATCTTGTTGAATAATACATATTGATATACAATTGCGTAAATATAAACAAACTTATGAAACAATCTTAAAAGCGCCATAAGCTAGACGTTTTTACTGTAAATTTATACATGTTTAGTAGTCGACATTAATCATTGTAAGTATAGAGTAATAGAGACGAAGCTAACTAGTACCGTGACCCTAGCCAGCTTGCTGGAAGTATACAGGTTAAAGATCAAGTTAAAAAATACGAATTTTTGTATTAAACCCGTGTAATTGGACTCTTCCCTCCCTCTCACTCTCTCATGCATATGCATCTACATACATATCACGAGAAAGTTATTTAGCGTTATTTGCATAACTAGGAATTGAAACTCGGATTTAAATATGCAAAATATCTCCTCCGACGTAGTGAAGGTGTTGACAGAGGCGCCGGAGGACGGAAGGAACACCTCGATACACTGATAACTTGCTGGAAGACCAGAATGCAGAAGGGAGGGAACTTGAAGTAGATTAGATAAACAAAAATGTAAAAATAAAAAACCGTTACGTCAGTCCTGTGCAGATTGGGCTCGAAGACCTGAGTTTGTATCCTCTGTGTAGACTTCCTTGGCCCCTTGACTGTTTTGTGATGATATCCTTGGCCCCTTGACTGTCTTGTGATGATATCATTGGCTCCTTGACTGTCTCGTGATGATATCCTTGGCCCCCTTGACTGTCTTGTGATGATATCATTGGCCCCTTGACTGTCTTGTGATGATATCATTGGCTCCTTGACTGTCTCGTGATGATATCCTTGGCCCCCTTGACTGTCTTGTGATGATATCATTGGCCCCTTGACTGTCTTGTGATGATATCATTGGCTCCTTGACTGTCTCGTGATGATATCCTTGGCCCCCTTGACTGTCTTGTGATGATATCCTTGGCCCCTTGACTATCTTGTGATGATATCATTGGCTCCTTGACTGTCTCGTGATGATATCCTTGGCCCCTTGACTGTCTCGTGATGATATCATTGGCTCCTTGACTGTCTCGTGATGATATCCTTGGCCCCCCCCTTCAACCGCTTCACTTGAATGAACATCTATTATGTTGTTTTGTTTTTCAAGAAATGCAAACTTGTCTCAAATTTCTTAAGTAGCAACACCCCGACAACTCTGTCCATCTCGTATCTCAGACCATTTCCTCTGACAATTTGGTTGAGCAAAGTGATCCTCCAACTTTGAACAGACGAACAGTAATTCTCTCGTCCAGTTTGGGCGAGCCTTGCCCAGTTTTGCAGGCGAAATAATCTGGGGTAAAGGATTGACATAGGCCGGTTGGGATTACCCTAAGTCAAATACTTGAAAAAAAAATATTAGCATTAATAGAGACCCAACATTGGATTTTCATGCTGTAAAATGTAAAATTTGTTCATGTTTCCCATGGAGTTTTTTAGTGCTTCGTAAAATTATATTTTCTGAGAGACGGGGGAGAGAGAGGTAACGAGGTGGAGGAGAAGGACAAGGAGACGGCACGAACTGTGGAGAACCAAATGGAGGGGGGGAGGGGGAACGTGGGAATTGAGTGGGGTATAATGGGGGAGAAGATGAGGGAGTAGGGGGAGGGAGGATAAGAGGGAAAGGAAAGGGGAAGGGGAGAGTGGGATGGCGTAGGAAAGTGGGAAAGCTGAGAGAGGGAGGGGAGGAGGGTGGAAGAAGCAGGGTGGAATGAAGGGTGGGAGAGACAGACTATCCGGGTAACTCTCTCTTCTAGTAACATACATATTTAATTCACTTGGACCATCGTATCCTCGAACCGCGGAACACAAAAAACACCAGCCTACAGTCCTACAAACAAAGCCACAAGCTCCTACAGTAAGGAAGGAACCCAAAGGCCCGCAACCGGTATCCAACTGGGACATTAAGTCTTTTCTGTGATTCCACTTGATCTGGAGCTGTTAGGTAGACTGTGAATTAAATTAGACCAAGTGAATTGAATGTCATCATCCACAATGTTGCGGTTGGCAATTGATATGACTTAAGCGTGGATCACCTAGTGCCTTCATGCTCAAGTGGCACCCGGGGGAAGGCTTAACGTCCCAGTGGCATGTGTCTGCGGTCCTTCACTATTGTGGTTGCTTGTAGCTTGGTAGGACTGTGGACTGCTGTTTTTGTAGTCCGCAATTCGATGCTCCGGTGTGTCCGATGATCATAATACACTGTGTGTAAACTTTTCGTATACTGATAGAGCACCTGTAAATGTATACTTCGCTACTTTATATATACATTACTCCAGTTTTTCTTTGATAAAACTTCATACTTCAGTTATTTAATACAACGTCAAAAATACATAATTATGTAAATGATTATTATGTTGTTTATTATTACAAAGATATATTAATATTTTATGAATATTACAGCACATATAAAAGTGTTAATAGTAGGAGTAATAATGAAGGCAGCTGGCAGCGGAGCCTCCGGGATCTTGTGTGTATCAGATGTATTTATACAACTGTCGTAATTAACATATTTCAGTATCCCATAGGCATTTTAAACTACGTGTTTGGCGTGTGCGTGTTTTGTTCTTTTAGACAAGTCGTAATTAGTGGATGTCTTCGTGCTTCATTTCATTTGCTTAATTAAATTTACTTAATTTTAAAAACACGCTGAATTTTTTATTTGCATTCTATTGGTGTAATTTTAACAGTAGTTGTGAAAATGGTGAATTAGCGTTACTTTATTTGATACTAGAAATAGTACCTAATGGAGTCCAGGATAGCCACTCTCTCTCTCTCTCTCTCTCTCTCTCTCTCTCTCTCTCTCTCTCTCTCTCTCTCTCTCTCTCTCTCTCTCTCTCTCTCTCTCTCTCCCCCTCCCGCCCCCCATTCACCCCCCCTCGCCTCTCTTCCAATTTCTTCCCTCCCCCTCTTTCCCGTCTAGCATCCAACCTTGAATAGACACATCTCCACTAATATATATATAAGTGGAGGCTAATATATATAAATATTCATAATTATATAAAATATAAGGGGTACCCAGCTGCACCCGGGCCGCTTCCCCCCTCTTTCTCAATTTTCTTCCCCACCCCTTTTTCTCTCTCCCCTTCTCGCAAAAAAATTATTTCACATTTGACTATGGAAATCGTATGAAGGCGCTCTATAAATGCTACTATTTCTAAAGTATTTAAATTAGGCGGGTTGGGGTCGGCCCATGTCCGTCCTGTACCTCAGGCCATTTCCTCTGCAAAGTTAGGCGAGACCTCCAACCTTGGACAGACAGACAGACATTCTCTCTTATGGGTGACTTTGTACACTAAGTGTTTCTAGCGTGTCTAAAGTTAACCCATACCTACCTTGTGTTGATTCCTGGTAACAATGTAATCTGCGGCCCGGTCTCCTGGTTGGTTGTTTGGTCAATCAGCGTGTTAAACACAGCTGCTTGCAGTCTGACGCATGAATCGCAGCCTGGTTGATCAGGTATCCTGTAGAGGTGTTTATCAAGTTCTCTTCTGAATGTCGTGAGAGGTTGGCTAGTTATGCACTTACATTCAGGAGTGTGTTGAAATGTTTTCAACGCTAATTTGCACTTCCTGACATGCCTCTTGGTCTCATGTAGTGTTTCCGCGTGCAGATTTGGGACCAATCCCCTCTAAAAAAAAAATTTTTTCCAAGTGTAAATTATGTATCTTTACCATTTGTGCTCTAGAGAATACAGATTTTTAAATTTTAAACTTTCCAATAATTTAGATGGTTTATTGAATCGATTCGAACAGTACAAGATGTCTGCACGTTCTCCAGTTTACAAAATATCAGCAGTTTCTCCAGCTTTGAATGGGGCTGTTGCTGTGCAACAATATTCCACCCCTAGAGAGCACTAGTTTCTTTAAAAAAGTATCATCTTTGGTATGGCATCTCTTGTTTAAAAAGTTCTTGTTATCCAACCTGTCATTTTCCTTCCAATTCTGATAGCTACTTGATTGTGTTCTTTAAAAGTAAGGATTTTCGCGCTTGGTCCAGGACGCTCGTAGCGCCCGAAATTAGCATGAGGGCAAAAACGTGAAAGGGTTAGTTCCCTTACTAGGCTTGATTTACGATATGGTCTCTAAACGGGTAGGAATGTTAACATTGGTTGAGCAACGGAAGCTGCCCTAACCTAACAACCACACAACGAAACTAAAAACGATGTAACAGCGTAATAACGCTACAACGTTGGGCTTACAACGTGTTCCCAGCAAACATACATCGTGTTCCCAGCAAACATGTTCCAGCAAACATACATCGTGTTCCCAGCAAACATGTTCCAGCAAACATACATCGTGTTCCCAGCAAACATTCAACGTATGTTTGCTGGGAACATATGAGATAGCTGAAGGTAAGGACACATGTTCTAACGAGACCCTCTCGTCCCTTGCTATCCCTGGCCTATAAAGACAAACTATGAAGAACCAGGATCAGATTTCAGTGATCTCAGTCTTCATCAAAAACTTAGTTTATATAGACTGTGAAGAGGTAACCTTTAGCCTTGACCGGAGTTGTTCTGTGTTGCAATGGAATAAATTAAATGCATTTTACTGTGACATTAATACGATGCTTTTTATGATTGGACGATATTAATGATGGAGTGATATGATATGATATGAATAATAATTATACGATGTAAATATACAATGAAATTAATTATACAGTGTCATGAATCATACATTTGCATGGTAAGTTCAATGTCGTGAAAACCATCTTGAGGTTATCTTGAGATGATTTCGGGGCTTTAGTGTCCCCGCGGCCCGGTCCTCGACCAGGCCTCCAGCCCCAGGAAGCAGCCCATGACAGCTGACTAACACCCAAGTACCTATTTTACTGCTAGGTAACAGGGGGCATAGGGTGAAAGAAACTCTGCCCATTGTTTCTCGCCGGCGCCCGGAATCGAACCCGGGACCGCAGGATCACAAGTCCAGTGTGCTTTCCGCTCGGCCGACCGGCTCCCTGCCGGGAGTTACCATACCTTGAGGTTACCTTGAGGTGCTTCCGGGGCTTAGCGTCCCCGCGGCCTGGTCGTCGACCAGGCCTCCTGGTTGCTGGACTGATCAACCAGAATGTTGATCAGTCCAGCAACAGCCTGGTTGATCAGTCCAGCAAAACCAAATGATGACAAGATTCTTGTCATCATCTTGTGATTCTTGTCTCCATGATGACAAAAATGATTTGGTGAATTATGTTTATTTCATTGATGAGGTATATAATTTGTGGCGTTTGTCGTTAAAATTTAGAGAGTATAATCCACAATTAAGATTAAACACAATGATAATTGTGCTTAAAAATTAATGATGAATGTAACTTTTGGTTTGATTTACAGATAATTAAACGCAGCAGTTGAGGTAAAGAGCCATAATTTGTATGATGCATAATTCCCCAGATAATGTTGAGACTTCAATTATGGGGATTATCAAAGAGAATCTCGTGTGCGTGTGTCGCAAAATTATGGCCCAGTTATTTATGTAAATTACAATTATGGTGTGGCATTGTAGAATGTTGGAGAGGCTTGAGAAAATGGGGAGAGAGGCGGAGAGAGAGAGAGAGAGAGAGAGAGAGAGAGAGAGAGACAAGGGTCAGAACATGAGTGCGTGCGTGTGTGTAAAATATATATATATTTTTTTTTTTTAGATATATACAAGAGTTCCTACATTCTTGTACAGCCACTAGTATGCGTAGCGTTTCGGGTAAGTTCTTAATCCTATGGTCCCTGGAAAACGACCCCCACGAAGATTCGTTTTTACAACAAAGTACCCATTTTACTGTTGAGTTAAACAGTATTACATATATACATACATTTTATATTCCTGCATATACACACACACATAAGAGTATCCGGTGTTGCTCGGGTGACAGAGGCCATAACTTCACTACACATTATCTTCATCATTAAAAAAAAAACATACTGTCATCACTGTAGTCATCTTCACAACACGACCTTCTTCATTGTAACTTCACTACACATGACCTTCACTGTATCCACCTACTCTAACATGTGTAGATGGATACAGTGAAGGTCAGGTGTAGTGAAATTATCCTATCCCCCCTCTTTTCACCTCTTCCATCTCCCCCCCCCCTTCCCTACCCTCCCCTCTACCACCTCCATTTTAATTTATATAGAAGGGGTACCCAGCTACACATGGCCTCTTTTCCCCCTTAATCTCTCATCTTTTCATTCTTTCTCCCCCTTTTCACCCCATCTCCCCCCTTGACCCCCTTTGTCCCAATCCCCTTGGTCCCCCTCTCCCCCTTCTCTCAGAAAATGTATTAAGAAGCACTGAAACAGCTGTATGGGTCTAAAAAATTATTTTATTACATTAAAAATGCCACGGGAATTGTGCACAATTCACACTTCGTGAAAATCATCTGGGGTGTCTAAATTTGCTAATATTTCTAAAAGCATTCAACACAGGCCTACCCTGACCAGCCTATGAAAATCCCATACCCCAGACCATTCCCCACAACAAATTTGGGTGAGACTAGTCCCAGGACTAGATACTCTTTTACAGGTACGTATAGATATAAATTTTACCTAGTGAAAAGATTCTAAATGCATCAAATACTAACTTCACATATGCTATCCGAAAAATCTGTTACCAAGTAATTCTGGTGTCATCTTAGCATTTTGTATACCCCATTTTTATTCAGGGAACCGTTTCCTATACATAGTTAAAGGATACTTCATAGAGAGAATAAACAATCTCATGCTCTTATATTTATCAACGTTGAAACCTAGCAGCCATTTTTTTTTTGGGGGGGGGGGAAGGAGGATGAGATGGGACCAACTCTGTAGTTTATCATGGCCATTTTGAGGTGGTCCCTCATCCGACACTCTTCTCGTTTTGTAATAATTTTCTCACCATCTGTGAGCATTAACATGCAGAATTCTAAATCCTTAAGGCATTCACAAGTAACAAGGAAGGATCTCGGTATAGATTGGTGTTTTGTCCTGCGTGTTGCTGTTCCGTCCTCTGACTTTGTCTGTTACTGCAAATGTTTCCTGTTAAGAGATATTTTCTTACCTGTTTCAGTATAATTCCAGTTAAACAGTACTGTTCTTCGAGAATGTTGTTGAGCAGTCGACACATCGTTATCATACCTGCTCGATTTTTAGTATCAGACCATAGTAAATTATTGTCATACACAATGAAATAGGCAATAGCATATGAGAAAACAAATTTTTGGACAATGCGATGGAATCAAATTTGTGTCATGGAATTTTAAGTCTTTAATGGTACTTGCATATGAAGTTCATCCATTAGGAGTATTAGCTTTTTAATGTTTTCTAAAATAATGTTGTAGTGGGTTATTTTAAGACCTGCATAGGAATTGATGTCCAAACCACACATCATAAATGAAGAAATGATGATGTTTTGGTAAATGAAGAACCATTATTTAGTAGTGTAATTACGACCTGATGATGATCCAAGATGGACCAAAATATTGTAATTTCTTCAGTTTCTGATGCGTGATTTGGAAATCATATCTAGCAACATTATTGTTACTCATCACCTGCAGAGGAATTAGGAATCGAGACGAATGAATATTGTTGGTATCTACTTCCATTTTAAATCGAGCACGAGACAAATTTTATCGTACTGAGTACTGACACTTCTGCTAAGGAGGCTGTCTGCACTGGTCCTATTTTCCAAAGAGGGATCCTTATTCTGATTGCTACCCAGTCATTCATTCCTCAATCCGTGACCATTGGCAGGGTCGTTGGGCATGTGTTAAACTGTGTGCTTTCGAGGGTAGCCTGTCCCCTTTGGCCTTCCTTCTACCACTGTAACCGGCAGTGGGAAATGATCTGTCGAAGTTGTGTATTGGCCATTGCACTCGCAAATACTTGATGTAACGCCGCCCTGCTCCTTATTGTCCGTCTTACAGTCTTGTGTCTCCTTGTCGAGTGTCTCGATTTTTTAGATATTTGTGCGTCTTGTTTCCCAGCTGTCCCTTAAGGCTATTTATCCCTTAATAGAATTCTTAGTGAATCTGACACCTTTGATATCACTTGCTTTATGTGCTTTTGTTCTCATGTTGCCATCCTCAAGTGATATTTAGCAACTTTTGAATATCTAACAACACTGTTGGTGCTACAGTCTTTCCCCAGTATGGTGCATTTTTTTTTTAATAATAATTACTTAGGTACTAATCCCAGAGGTTAATTACTTCTCAGAAGATGGAACAAAGCCTGGAAGAATAATCTAATGGAAATAACTGCAAAGGGTATGAAAAGCAGGTTATAAATTAACAATATTTTTATTATCACAAATTATGTACACCATATTAACTATTTACAGTATAAATACTTCTTCCGTAATTTGTCACATCAATATAACAAAGCAGGATGACCTGTTACAACTTTTGAAAGACTAAAATAAACCACTATTATTGTCATATTATTCAAATAACATTTACTACTTTCTGAAATATGACAAGCTTCCTTTACATTGAAAACCAATTAACATAACTTTACAAGTCCTGTTAGGCCATCATTCAAAGAGTAAATATTAGGAAGCAGACCACAGATGATCTTCGAGGCAAACAAAACATTATTTTGAGATCTAGTTAGTTAAAGGTTACTGTGAGCACCAATAGTGAGGCATTTTCTACCACATGTATCCAAAGTTGAAGCACTGATCAAAATACAATCATACAACAGAAAAGGGTAGTTTGAACCACTAAATGACCCTAAACACAGCCTTCACTAATGTTAAAAAAAACTTATGCTAACTTGGTTAAAAAAAAAAGTGTTAACTTTGGAATGGGTGTAAGTTATGTTTTATATTTAATCAGACACCTTAGTTGGTACACAAGCATGATCAGCAGTCACACAGTCTCCAGTTTAGGGTTGACTGGAGGGTTTGTACACACTTTCAGAAGATGGATGGAATTCAGGTTACCTGTAGTGAACAATGTGACTATTTATTCATATTTCTCTAAAGTGCAGTTTGAAAGATAATGTATTTATATTCCAATATTTTCTTGTCAAAAGACACTATTTACTTTATATAGAGGTTTTGATTAATTAAAAAAATCATTATTACAATGTAAAATTTCTGCAAAGTAGACAAAATTATCAGTCAAATTACTGACAAACTGTAAAGAAATGGCTATTTTTCAACCTCTATTTTCAAGAGGTAATTATTTATATGAATGCCTTGACAATCAGGAACCTAGCCAGGAACAGTCACTAATTTACAATATATATATGTATATATAAAACAGTAAGTATTATAAAACCCTCCAAGGCACACAACTGCTGATTGCGTCATTAAATGGCCAAAAGCGAGCATAACATACACCTTTAATAAAGCCCAGGTCTGGCGCACGCACAATGATACTTTTACACCACTTTGATCAAGATTACTTCCCTGTACATGTGAATCATTTTTATGCAGATATTTAGTTAAAACTACCTGAAGATTATTTTCTTTGAGGTAAAAAAAAAAAAAACATTTTTACACATTGTTTTTTGCAGGTTAACATTACCAAATTAATGGTGTTACCTTTGATTTGTTAATCTCCAGGCATTTTAACAAAAACTCCAGCTTTTGTGTTTGGCACTAACCCTATTTACTTTATAGGGCAAGAGTGCACCAACACATAACCTCAAATAGTTGAGCAACAATGAGATTATAGAGTATGGTCAAAATAAAAATAAAAATTAAATAAAATGGAATGCACAAAGCCTGGCTGGTGGATTTTTGCTTATGCTCATTAGTCTGAGAAATTATGGCTGAGACTAGAATGCAAGGCAGGTAATGTAAATCCAGAAAGAGGAGCAACCAAGCTTGGTCCTCCTTATGTCACCATTACATCTATTAGGGTCTGGGATATGTTACAAGGAAGGTTCAATTCCTGATTACAACACCAAGTAAAAACTACTCATTCATCATGACCTGAGATACTGGTGAATTACCGGCTGATATATCATTAGCTAGTACATTTGAATGGTATTGATAACCCCAAAATCCATCACTGATAACTCTGTTATACAGCCTCTATGTCCAGTTAAGGGCATTATGTTACAAGTATGCTATTGCAACTGGCTTCTGCCATTAGGATAAAAGTAATACAAATTTTGAATTTGATTTGCAATAAAATAAAAGCAATTTTTCCCCACAGTGCTTCTCACTAAGCAGTCAGATCTCCTGACAAGGAAAAGACTTGGTACTGCATAAACAAAGAAAGTGATCGGCTGTGTGTACGTCACAAGTAACAAAAGACATCTGCCTGGCTCTGGGAATGTGAACCTTTAGTAGTATCCACTTCACATTATAAAATGTAAACCTAAAGCTCAAAATCTGCTAACCTAGCAACAACAAAAGTCTCTTATAATCACATAGTACAGAATGATAATATACCATCCCATCAATATTACAAGTATCTCACTACCACACTTGTTTGAGAATTCAAAGAAAAACGTATTAACGTCTGGAAATGTTTCCGACTTGTTAAGAATACCTTGGTACTGCATATGACTACTGTTCTGCACTATCACATTAGGGCAGAGAGGAGTAATAAATGAGAAGGCACAAAGTTTATATTAATAACTGTTGTAATTCACTTCCTTGGCTATGTGCAGGAGGCAATTAACACGAGCCATCCAGCCATTTGAGATTAATATACATAGGTAATTCCCATCATAATGTTAGCTTAATGATCACAAATTAAACTACTGCTCATTGCAATCCATTTCCATATAATCATTAGTCTTCACTATATAGAAGCAGTAATTAAATTTAAAGCACCTATATTCATATATAAAGTGCTTGATAAAAATGCCTGTAAATAAGAGATGCGCTCTGAGCAGCAACTGCATCAGTGTTTTATCCGAATTTCGAAATCAGGTGCTACAATTTCCTCATTACTATGAAATAATTACCAGTCCTTCATTGTCACCCGAACTTCATGGTGAAAAATCAGGTAAATTTAAATATGGCTAACACCCTATTTCCTGACCACTCTTTCCATAAAAGTAGAAAATGTTAAGCTATATTTTTAATAATACACCATATTTTTGTTCCTTGTTCATTTTCATCATTTATATGAATTTATATTTTTTGTTTAAATTCCAATTATTTCATTTATTTTCAAGAATTTTTCACAATGACTACACAAAAAAGGTTGGCACTACTCAAAGGCTTGCATGAGGATGACCAATTCACGATACATGGGTCCTAATTTTCCAGGAACTGTTTGTCGCTTGAGAAGGAAAGCTCGAATTGACATCATGTGATTGTAGCACTCAATGCATTTGTTATACCTGAGGACAAAATGTGCAAATTAATATGGCATAAATATATATCTGTCACATTTAATCATTTATCATTCTTACTGTCAGCTACCCTTGTTTGAGGTCAGCAATATCATGTTTTGTATACCAATATTAATCCAACAATCAGAATAAGTAAATTTACACTTTTTCTCTGCTATAGGTGGAAAATATTTATGTAATCAGTCTTATTCAATACAAAATGTACATGTGTGACAAAGAATGAAAATGAATGCTAGGAAATAATGCTTAAGTGAAAACGAAAATCACCTTATTGAGTAGTAAACTCGGTTGCTCACTAGAGCATGGTTCTTGATGGTCCCATTGGAAATTTTCCTAGTCACTCATAGCTGGCCAAAAATCTGCACTAATGCTGCACAGATCTTAAGCATTCCTGCCAGGATATACTGGAGCTTGAGATGCAAAGGAGTACTTCTTTAATCTTGTTCAAAATGACCTTCAGAAAATACACCCATAAAGATTTGAGGCCATTCCAAACTATTTCACGGGGACAGCTACGTAGAACTCTTGCTAACTGCCAACTGGCCAGCCATCTCGTCCTCACAAACCACAGTTGGCATTGCTCATAGGTAGCAGCAGCACCAATACTAATGCAGGGTTCCCAAACTCAAAACTCCTCGCATTCTTCCCAGCCTTGCATCTGGCCATCCAAATTTCCCACCAGAAGGTAAGCCTATCTCAAAAGAGAGCACAACAAACCCACAGAACAGTCGAGAAGTCTTGTGAAGATGACCACAATATAAGGTTAGACAAGAATCTCAAACTCAGATGCTGAAACAGAACACTTAAATAATGAATATTTTCAGATCATGTGCATAAGGCTATATCTCCAATTTAATGAAACTTACCACACTACAAATTTAAAAAAAAATTCCCTTAGTACAGCTTGGGTTATGGAAGGACAACCTGTGTTAGCGGAAAAGTGAGGAAATACTAGTAAAAAGCCACAACCGTATATAGAGCACAATGGCCACAAGGTCTAAAACCCAGCCTGAACAACAATAGGGTTCCTTTAGGAAGGCTTTGCTTTATATTTTAATCAAGAATTTGCAGTTAAGATAGAAATGCAAAAGGCATTTCCATGACCAAAGAACATGAAGCCAGCAGAGTGGATAACAGCAAAAGATAACAGCCCAATAGACCAGAGTAAGTGTAAAAACAAAATCTTGAAGGAGGGCATCAAAGACAGAATTTCTAAACCCAGCTAAGCATAAGGAATCCAGCATTGTATCGAGAGATTAGGTGGGCTCCAACTGTGCTTATGAAGGATTAGGCGTGGACAAATGCCGTATAAACTCATGATGGCAGGGTCAGAGATTTAGGTTGAAACAAAGCTTAACAGATTTGCAGAAGAGTCCTAAATAAGACATGAGCTGCTCATCTGTAGAATCCAAATGACCAAATGAGCAATGATACATGGCAATGAATAAAAAAAGAAAACCGACAGAAGCAAGAGAAGATTCCTAAAGTCTGACAGACCAGCTATTCAAATTGGAATAATTACCATTAGCTCTTCAAATAGACGGCAAAACCGACCTCCTCTATAAAATACATACACATACAAACTAATATTTTCAAGCTCTGCTGTTAATACTGAGGACTGGGAACAAGGCCAAGTTAGAGCTCAAGGAAAGTAGGGTCTAAAATCAGGGTATGACCAGCCAGGGAAAGCAAGGCAAAATGCAATGCATCCAATGCAAAGACTTTCCAGTCATGAAATGGAGCCCACACAGAGGCAGCTTCTACTATACAGGTCGAGTATTTTATCATTTCAAACACGTCTAAGATTACTGTATTTTGACTTACCGTTCTTCTCTCGATATGTCAACCCCAACACTGTGTATGGGACCAGACATGTTTGATTTTATCATGACTGCAAAATTCTTGATCATCAGTTTCAAGGCATTGCAACCACAAGTAACATATCTGAAAGTTTATTGTAAGTATTTAGCAACTTTCACAAAAGCTATGCAAATATATCAATGTCATATATTGAATATATCACATATGTCCGAGACTTTTCATCATCTGCAAAAAGGCAACAATAAACAGCTGTGATCTGGTAGCTCATTTTATTTAAATGAGCTACCAAGTCACATGGTACTAAATAAAATACAGCGTTAAGTTTCCATAATATTTATATTTCAGTAAAATTGTTTAACTAAAAATCAGTTTACTCACGTTTCATATTTACTTTGCAAAAGCAAACTGACAGGCGGAAGCAGAGCCGTCAAGAGGTCCAGATTCCATATTGACCTGCACAACACAACATAAATAAGCATATCTATTACAAAGTCTCAAAATTATTAGGTTAACTACACTATATTGATAGGACCCGTAATTATACCCATTTCAAATAAAATTTTATTTTCTATTTTCTAATACTCAGAAGAACCAAGATAGGAAACTATGATTTATAATAAACTGGAATTAAATATTGATACAATGATTAACTTACGGTCTAAGGTTAATGATGCCTAAAAGATCGACGAGAAGTGCCTGATCACTTGTGTTGAGAGCATGGTCGACAGCTGTCTTGAGATCCTTACTCTGCCACAGCTTGTGCGTAATTTGCAGGCCTCTAGACCGAGCACTAATGACAGACATCATGGATGAGTGACCACGCATGATGCTAGATAGCACTTCCTGTTCAGACATTTCAGTCCCTGCAATGCCTGTTAGGCCATTTCTACCAGTACTTCCATCCAAGCCCAAGCTACTCAGTTTGTTCTGTTAAAAGATTTTTTTTTAAATCAATATCTGGATTGTATCTGACATGAAAAATATTTTCGTCAAAATATGAAAAATACTTTATGCTAGGTAAGACAAATACCGTAATTACATTTATCCTAAATTAGAGTTTCTATCATAGGCAGCAGTTATTGAATCCCAGTGCCTATGTCAGGTACATCTTACAACACAAATATTATTAATATTTTTAAAAACAAAAGTATACCCACTAATATACATTTACTGAATGTCAAAATGTGAACATTCTGGTACATAGATGTATATGTAGGAAGCTTCACCTCAAAGTCAGCTCTCTCACAACAAAGAGCTTCAAAATCTCAATGTGTTAATTTTAAATTTAATTTTACATTTGTTTGGTTAAAATATATTAAAAATGATGCATAAGTGATATATGAATAATGTTAACAAAGGCATCAACTAGATATATTATAAACTGTTGGATTTTTACACAGATGATGAACTACAATACTTCAGGAAAATCAACAACATGACCAGCAAATGTTCAAACTTACTGGTAGAAAGTCATCAAAGTTAATACTCTTATCAGGAGGTATACTTGAAAAGGAAGATGAATAATCAATTTCCTTCAAGCCATCTTGACGATAACCATAATCAGGTGGTTCCTTCATCGAGCCCATGTATGATATATCAGGACTGCTTGGCTTGGGTGTGCCCATGAACAATACTTCCGAGCTCTGTGATACATGAGGACGTGGCAGTGCCCTGACTAGGGTTGGCCGATCAATTGGCCTGGAGTGAGACGTGAGGTCTGGCTTAGATGATGCCTGAGTGCGACTTAGATTAGTGAGATCTGGTCGAGCCAACTGTGGTAAGCTTGGAGCCGAGTCATGATAAGCTGGGGAGCTTGATGGAGGACCTGGAGAAGATGACTGTCTCACCAAATGTGGCTCTGATGGACTATGTCGAATGTGGTATCTGAGGGAGAATAACAATAAATTTATAAAACTTTCATAATACATATATAAACAGAAGTCATACAAATAAAGAATTAAATTAAATCTGACTACCAATTGCTGTTGCCATATGGTTACAGAATCCTTTCTCCAACATTATTTGGCACATTACCTCACCTAAGACATTTTAAAACCTTAAGTACATTAATCATGTTAAAAGTTCCTTAATTATGCAGAAGACAACTATGAAAGTCAATATGTTAATTAAGCCAACACTAACAAATCTACCTATGGAAAGTACACATATCCATTTCTTTAATACTACGATGAAATAAATCAGCACATTTAGCATTTAAATATAAATGACAAAGAGAGACGGAGAAAATAAAACCAAGGATCCATTTGCTCATTAAAAAAAAAAAATTTAGTCCATATAATAGAAGCAATATATTACACATACACAAATCCATCACAACATTTGAGCACTGTATATAGTGATTGTCCAAGTACAAATATACAGAACCTACCTGTTGCCTTCAGCTTCATATGGGGCACTGGACGATTCTCTCGGGTCTCTTCTGCTCTCCGACACAGCACGTGCTCTGTAGGGTTGACTCATGTTGGGACTGGCACTGCCACTTAATGTGTAGTCCCTAATTGGGTTAGAGTTTGTGCATACAATTAGTGCATATTTAAAAACAGAGCTGATGAGACTTTATGATGTAAATCAAGATGAGAAATAAACAGCATATGAGACTCAAAGCTGATGTGAAACAACAAGAAGTTTAAATGAAAACACATGTACCTTATTTGGATGCACAGATGTGCAAGATACAATTAAAACGGGGACAAATAATACAATTCCTACAATACTGCATTACCTGTGAGAAGACACACCCGCAGACTGCTCCTGAGTAGAGCCTCGTCTTTCAAAGACACTTGGGAAACTGGTGGGGTTTGAGGGGGGCGTCTGTGGCTGGTTACCATTATCATATCTATGGGCATAACAATAATAAAATAGCATTCTCTAAACCCCAGCAACAATTGAGAGAATGGGAACTGCTGGAGTGTGCAAAACAAACTTTTAAGTCTTTAAAACTAAGCAAAAAGAAGAATAAAAAACTGCAAAAAGTTTATTAAAAGTGAGGCAAACAAGTGAACACCATACCATAATATAATCTGCTATGCAGGTGAATGTAATACAAATATAAAGAAATTAAACTTTAATGATGCTAAACAAACAAATGTCTAAATTGCATATTATAGAAAAAAGTAAGTGTATAGTGGTACAGTATATTAAAAAAAAATTGTTTATATTTAAGATAAAGTATAAAGGAAATTAGCCGATTTGAATGAATCTCTAACTTCATAAATCGATTGACCACAAGACAAGACTGTATTTACCCAAGTCAAAATTAGAGAGATATGAGCATTTCTCCAAAGGTGTCCCTTTCTTTATCATGGTAAACTATATAGTAATATACACTAGCTGCCAGTTAGTGATAAACTATGAATTCAGTGTGGAGAAGGTAGGACTGTTCATTGTCAATTTGGCTGTTAAGTATATTTAATGTGAGAAAATGAGTCTGGTGAAGTTGTCAACAATGACACAGAATGGGGTGAAAGTGCCTTGAACTGACAGAATGGGGCAAAGGTGAATGAACACACCATGATGGGACAGAATGAGGTAAAGGCACCATGATGGCACAGAATGAGGTGAAAGCACCATGATGGTATAAAATAGAGTGGTGTTATAATAACACAATAGAAGATGCTACAATGGCTGTGTGTGGAAGACACAACAAAACAATGCTAATATAAGAGTAAGTTAAGTGATCTAAAATTGTTAAAAGAAGACGACAAACCTAAAATTAAGGAAGTAGGGCATGCATAAAAGTTGTGTGACACGAGCATAAATATTTAAGACTCAGAAGTATATCTGTATAAAATGGACAGTATGAAAAGCATGTGTAATGTTAAGAGAACAAATACTGTAGAGTAAGGTATATAATTGATAAAAATATGGAGTACAAATGTTCTCACATCTTAAGATTAAGGAGATTTTGATAGATGGTTTGGTATTGCTTAATGAATGGAAGATGACAGACTGGTAAAGACTGTATTCAAGCGATTAAGAGAGGAGGAGAGGAATACCAGTAATATGGGATGCTATGGTAAGTGTGTGAGACAGATGCAGGGAGTGAAGGTGAACAATGAATGACAAGTGGTAAGGAACAAGTTGGACTCTGGTAGTCCAGGGATGAGATGGGCATTATTAAATAAAGTAAATTTAACCTTTTACTTTATTGTTTATTGGTTTACAATCTTCTCACTGATCCTTTCCCATAAAAGTGGAAAACTAGGTGATCACATAATACATAAAAGGATAGAGTTGTATAATATTTGAAGGTTAAACAAATTTTTGTTAAAACAGAACAGAACTGGAATCAGCAGACGGATTGAAATATTTTGAACATCTGTGTTAGGCAAAAAAACGAGTGAAAAAGCAAAAGCTAAAAACAGAATGGCAAGAAAATTGGGTGACTTACAAGCTTTTAAGAAAAAGAACAGCAGTGGCAGGTGCTAAAAGCCTTCAGGGAATGCTCGTTTGAATCTTTCATCATAGATACAAAACTAGACACTCCCACAGTACAATGAAATTAATAATGAGCAACATAAAAATTATTCTGTGTCGTCAAACAATTGAGTGCCATTTATTTGGAGATTTGCACATGCCACTTTGTAAGGAAGTAAAACTACCCGGAGACAAAAGGATACCAACCTGGGCGTCACACTCTCCCTGGGAGTGGCAATGGGCCGAGGAAGGTGTGAAATATTTTGAGAGGAGCCTCTTCGAGTGGTGTCTGGAGTGGTGGGCCTGGCTGCAGTAGGTGGACTATGTCTCAGAGGTTCTGGTCGTATTACATCTGGATTGGTCATTACTTGAGGCACCATGGGATCTGTAGCAATTATAAAATGCAAACAAATGTAACACATATTTACACTAAGAAATGCCCATAACTTACATAATACCTTGAAAAACTTTAAAATTGTTAAAGCTCAATAGGTATTCAATTATTTTATAAAATGAAAATTTTAAATGCATTTTTACTGATAGTCATTCATGCTAATAAAACAAACATCAGAACCGTAAACCCACTGGAATTAAATAATAAAATATTATTTGAAATTTACATCAATATTAACCAGCACACAACAATGTACCATGACTACACAAACCCTCAGTCCTATATATTAACAAATGTCAACATTTCCAAGGCAATAGTTTATGAAGGGAAGCAAGCCAGTAGAAACAATAATTTTGTATTTCAATACTATACTGTACAGTATATAAAAAATATATAAGAAGAAAGAAGTATGCCTTTTAGTGAACGAAGAGAGAATGCGGTAAATAATGACTTTCCAAATTCAAAGTATTTGTGCATGTACATCAAATTCAAAATAGCAAAGGTGATTTTTGTAATTACAAATGCTCCATGTGATATTAGAACCAAGACAGATTTTTAAGCATACTTTAGAGTAAAATTGGCATGCTACCAGGAAGTTCAAGAATAATTCTACAAAGTGATTTGAATGGTAATAAAATGAATAGGCACCAAGAATGATGCAAGTATATATGGAGTCATGGGAATCGATAGCAATGGCTGCAGGCTGAAATGTATTAGCAATGAAAGAGGCAATAGAACAAAAGTCGAGATTTGGCCGATGAACACAAGGAGTATGTCAGTGATCTTTTGGAGCCCAATAACAAACAGATAAATATCAATGATACATGAGCATAACAAGAAAAATGTTTAGTTAAAAATGCCAAGGTGTGTGATGTTGCTTAAACAAGAGGAAGAATGGGAGGAATTGGTAAGACCATATGGGAAAAATCAAGTTTTGAGTGTACAGTACATGGAGACCATATTTGAGCTGTTTACCCAAATGGTCCCTAAGGGCAAAATCTTACTACAACTTCTGGGTAGAATCTAATACAATAATGGGTGGTCAACATTTCACATCAGTGTAGCACAACATTTCGTACTACAGGGTACTGTATCCCTCTCGGGTCATACTGATGCTTGCAAGACAACAGAGATTATTCAATCCAGCCCAAAATGTAGAGTGCATTTACATTAAATTTAAAATCTTTCAAGACAACTTGAGCATTCAAGAGGCCACCAGCACCATAGTTAACAACCTAATGACACACTAGTTCACTGCTCCCAACTGCTATCATGTGGCAGCATCTACTTAACACTAAAGCCTCCCAACCCAAACTCTGCACATTATCCCTAAGGCAGGCAAGTGTCAACAGAAGACTACAGGGAACTAAATCAAGGGTAAAACTCAGCAGGGTTGCAAGTTTTAAGAACAGAAAATGAGGTAAGAGGCTGGAGTAAAGAGACGGTCAGATTAATATACAGTATGAATAGTCGTGGTTGAATATTAATAGGAACTGCTTCACATGGGCTAATAAGCATTCTATAGTTTCTCTATTCTTATCAGTAACTACAATGGAGAGACCAGCACAAAATCACAGTCCTGGAGCAAAGCAGTGAGAATCTTCAGATTTATTTGAAACTTTAATAGGAAGAACTTGCTACCAAAATGCTAACAGAGCTGAAACAGAGAAAGTAGCCCAGTCAAGGCACTAATGAGAAGTGTTCCTATACAGTAATGTAAGTACTACCATAACAAGTGCAAAGTATCAGTCCACAGTATGATTAGCAACACTATGACCCCAATGCTGACACTTGAAAAAAATCTACAGAAAGTGGAACTTGTGCAGAACATCACACTGCCCAGTATGTCATGATCCACTCCTATAGGACCAGAATGGATATTGCTTTAGAAAGCATGAGAGTTGAAAAGTACAATAAAAAAAAGGTAGTTGGGACAGTTTCTTGTTTACTTCTAGCATCCTAGTTTTTTATTTGTTTCCTCTATACAGCATTTAAATGGTGTTGAAGAAAACTAAAAGCTGGAGAATATTACACAATCTATAATAAAGCCTGGGTTTTAGAAACAAAATCATCACACATACTACAATATTTGAAGACCTTAATATAAGGCTTTTATATCAAACAATACATAAAACACAGAGTTTGCAATACAATAAAACTGTTAAACCTTAACAAAAAAAATTCATTACAACTTCTGCCAGGATAGTGTCAGGTACTTAGCAGTGCTGTATATTTTATACAAGAGGCCTCTAAGTATCATGATGAAGGTTCAAATACAGTACAGTATACTATATACTTGACAACTTGAGAATGTTTGAAAATAATTTGAAAGCTAAACAATTATATTTTGATTAAAAGGAATTCTTCACAATATATCTATGCGCCAACAATATTTCTGTAACTCTGAAACAATAGACAAAGATCACTTTTTTCTAAAAAAACATATATTGCAGACTTGCACTTTTACCACTATGTTTCTTAACAATGACTTCCGATGTGTCCCTACACAAGTTACTCAAAAACTGGCAGCACGAGGATGGGATCACAAGTCTATTTAACTTTACCATATGTGAAGCTCTGGGTGGTTGTGGTGATCTAGATATGCCGACTGACTTTATATGTACACAGGGTACTGTTCTGGGCACACTGTGCTACCCAGTAGCTGAAAGTGGGGGGGGGGCAGACTATGATCCCTATACCTACCATTGTTATTGCTAATGGCGGGTTTGGGCTCAGGCGGGGGTGGTGTTCTCTGTACTGTAATAGAAGCACAATAAATACAACAGTTATGATTAATATTAAAACAAGAAGCCACACAATAATTTTCAGAGAAAAAGCAATAGCAAGACTATAAATCAGAAATCATCTTAAGCTCTCCAGAGTGCTTTCTGACTTTTTTTTTTAAATTAAACCAAAAATAATATGGGCATTCAGGTGAATAAATTGTTGTGCAAGCACTTTTAGGTGGCTTCAAGAATTTGTCTGAGGCGGTGAATGAACTGTGATGGAACTACACATGCAGAATCTACTACTGAATCAACTTGAAGGGAACAACATGCTCAATTGTAATGAGGATAGGTTTTCAACATTTAAAGTTCTATTACACAGGTAGGAAGGCACAACTCGTCTGAAATTAGCACAAGCATGAATTGTTCAATGTAATATTTGAGAAAAACTGGCATGGAAAATAAATCAAGGCCATTGGAAGACACATGTCACAGGAAGGCCTTGGGATTTCAGTTATTGGAGCAATACAACTGAAAGATTTTGGGACTTTGATATTACAGTAAAAAATATGAAAAGCTCAAAATACTCTCAACAGATTTTATTAAATGTTATTTATATCAAAGTTCAGATCTTGGATGAGTCCATTATGTTATTCACTATATACATTTTAAAACTATGAATAAAAACACTGAATAACATATGTAATGCTATTGGTCAACACTGAAATCCCATTGTTTAACTAACTAAAATTACAACAATAGTAAATATGACTTACGTTCCCTATGGGTCTTAAAAATTCCATTGTAATCATTAAGATTAGTGATTTCTGGAGGTGGGTCTTCCTCCTGAGGTTCTTCACCCCCAGTATCTGAAGCTTCTTCAGTCTTCATGGACTCTGCCCTGTATGAGTAAACATAGCAACTATCAGGTCAAATTTTGTTTTAAATATGCTCAATGACTTTTCTCAAGGTACCACTATTTACCCTAATTTTGTGTTCATCTACAAACATCATTAAAAATGTTTTCCAAGGAAATCTAAAGATGTTACTTTTCTTGCCATATTGTTTCCATGCTCAAGGGACAAATTTCACCAAGAAACCTACTTTCAATCATATAGGATTTCACTCTCATCTTCAATATTACCCAGGAATCAACCCCTTAAAGCTTATTTTTCAAAGGTAGACCCACAACCCACTAATGATGCAAAGGGAAATGCAACATTATAAATTAAATAGTAGTCATCAACAATGTTGGAGAAAATTCAGTGATTTACTCCATTTTTTAGTTCTAATAAAGCATAAACAATTACAAACACTAAAATTATTTAAACAGCATCTTACGTGGCTTTCCCCGAACTTTTGTCTTTGCTGAAACTCTTGCGTATAGCTGCACCGTATCTGAAAGTTGATGGCACATCGTGCTGAGGAACTCCAAAAGGCTGAACACGCTTCAAATCCACCACATATAGGGAGACGTGCACACCATGGAAGCCTGCACCAATCTGAAAAATTGGTGAAATGTTATCACTCCCACATACAGTATTGTATATGACATCATATATATTCCGGCACTACTCCAAAATGCTCCCTAGATAAATATTTCAATATAAAACACTATTCTCCACCAAAATAAAAAAAACTTCATATACAAAATATATTTTTATTATATTACTTTTAACACAGTAAAAAGTGTTATATTACTTTAACACAGTATAGTTATCTACACATTCTCTATCACATTATCGGGACCAAAGAGACCGGGACCATTTTGTAAAGGAGAACAATAACACAATATTCAGATAAAACATTTAGTAAACCTAACGTGTCCAGGTTTACATATACATGAAGATTCTCATTTCAGTAAATACTAACCAGCTGGTTTTGAGCAATGGCAATATCCTGTATCTTGCCCCAACCCATAGCAACAGTGTCAAAGGTACGGGCAGGCTCCCACCCATATACTTTTAAGACATCTGGGGATCCCGCATACACGCAATCCCCATCAGGGTGGAAGGCAATTGTTCTGAAACATAATTTGAATGTAGTCAGAGAAGGCAACCTCTAGTCAATTTTTGTTACATTATAACAGCAACCGAGTTACTCATCACTATATACAGTACTTACAACGGCATGAATTTTAAAAAGGGTTTAAACACCATAAAATTGAAGCAAAACAATGATCAAATTTTGGAAAAATGATTAGTTTTTAATTTTAACAATACAGGATTTCCTTTATCTATGCATTTACTTGCAACAATTTTGTAAATATTAACTACATGTAAGTTTTTTTAGACATCAACAGCTCCTCACAAGGTTAAAGCTAACGTAATGTAACTGTAGTGTACGTGTGACTATCAAGGGGGGATAAAGCTAATCAAAGAATGCTTAAATGCACCAGAATATAATAATAACTACACTGTAATACACCTCTAAGTAAGAACATTATGTGATCTGAAAAAGTGCATTGTAATCCTTACTCTTTGAAAAATATTGAGCAAACTAAATCTTACTGTCCTTTCAAACTCAAGTGGCTAAGTTTCATATTTATTGGAAATCTTTATTAGAAGTTGTAGATTATATATTTTAAAAAATATACTATTATTAATCATTGTATAATACCGATCCAGCTCCAAACAAGATTATTTTGTCTGTGAAAAGCAAGTCATAACAAAAACTATCAGTTCACAAAGCTCGGCAAACAATGGTATCCGAGATGGTAAGCATGAAGTGCTTATATGAGCGAGACACCATATACTGTACACTACATCCAAATTCTCTGCATGTCCACACAGTGGATATGCACAGTTCTACAGAAAAACTGTTTTCCATTATCCAGGAAATACACTACATTATACACTAGTATAAACTAGAAAAATACACTAGTGCATATTAATATACACTACAGTATATTAATATTTTTCTTAATGTTACTGTGGAAGGCAGAACTGCTGTTAATTATTATTTGGTATGTAGGAATGGGCATAGTGTATTGATATAAACTGGCTCAATGCAAATTCACTAACCTAATGGGCCCAGTATCAGCATCAGTAGCCGACACGAGTGAGAATTTTTCCAGGTCCCAGAAATTGACAGTCCGGTCATGAGAAGCAGATGCCAGAAGAAATTCATGAGGATGAAATTCCACGTCACTGACCGGCCCTGTGTGCTGTGCAAACTCCGTCATCATCTTGCCAGCTCGGAGATCCCACAACTAGCATCACAACATTCATCAGTATGTAATATACATGGCAGGTTATTAATGATACAGAATACTGTATATAAAAACACAAAATACAAACAAAGCAATGGATATACTGTAAATTGAATAAATTTAGATTAATAAAGTAAATACTAATTTAGAAATAAGGTTGTTGATTTACGAAACATTATTTGGTAATATAGTAAGACATAGGATAATTGTAGTGTTTCAATGTAGGATTAGATCTATTTGGGCAAGTTTGGTTAGCTATAATATCAGTTGCCTTACATTGGCCAAAAAAAGGCCTTCTGCAGTTTCCTCCATTTTTACACTAACATACTCATTAAAAATTAAAATAACATTGAATTCCAATTCCATATCTTCAGTCACACCAAAACCACCTCTTTCTTTTCCAATTTTATTATGCCCTATATTGCAACAAATTAAGATTCACGAATATCTTCGAAAAATACAATGCCAAATTTGGCTGAATTCAATTTTTGCAACTTTTTGTAATAAACATTTAAGTAACATATTCTAGATAAATATCTCAATGAGATTCATGTATGTACTGTACCATCTCTTGGCGAGATTTGTTAAGAGCCATGTTCAACCACATAATGTTATCACAAATCCAACAAACACATTTTTATGTCAAAAAAAGGATAAAACATCAAGAATAATTATGATAAATGTTTAACGTGAACTTGATTCATATGAAATACTTGCAAAATGAAAGGGTTGATGCCTATATCATCCTCAAACATTGTAATACTCTAATATAACACCTTGATGTACTGGGTATTAGTAAGGTGATGTAGGTCACTGACCTTGACATTGCAGTCCTCCCCAGCTGAAGCAATCCACTGTCCATCTGGAGAAAACTTGAGACTATTAACAGTGAGGTTGTGACCTTTGTAAGTAAAGATGCAGCCCTTCCGTCGAATATCCCATAACTGCAAGATAAAGTCCAAAAATTAATGAAATTAGAAAATGACCCAGGGCAAACTAAACAAAAAATACTATCCAAAAACTATTGATAACATCACGATAGTTCTGGATCAACATAAGCTGAAGAAAACATTAATTATATTATTGCTTACAAGCTGATAAATGAATATTTGGTATATAATACATCTTTTCTCTTGACGTACATTGTTTTGTTGTACTTGCTATTAAAACTGTGGATGGAGGTATCTTCTACAAGCTTTTTGTGCATTCTACTTAATGATGAGCATTTCCTTACACTTTTTCAACATTTGCATTATCCCCTCTTTTCCTCCTCCTCATCTTTAAGGTTGACAAGTCCTCGCAATTTTGTCCATTTAATTCAAACACTGATATTGTCATATTGTTCTGTATGTATGTTAGAATTGTAAAAGGCACTAGTATCACTGTACTTGATTGAATGCTCAATTGACAGTCTGGGAAAATACAGTTGTCCCAGTTCTCTCTGTCGTTTTTGGTGACCTTGTCATTGAACTCTACCAAGTTATCAGGTACGAGCTATCCCCAGTCAAACTTCTGTCTAGCTTTAAGAATACACAGTGTATTGTATACACCACTCACCTTAATATTAGTATCAAGGGAGCCGGTACCGATGAAGTCGCCATATGGATGGAAATCTATACAGCGGATGTTAGCCTTGTGACCTGTAAGAGTTCGGACTATTTTGGTGGCCTCTAGGTCCCAAATCTTTAGCGCACCACTTAGTGACCCTGCACAAACCAGGTCCTCAGAGCCTCCAAAGCGTACACACTCTACGGGCGTTGTGTGGCCCGACAAACTCTGTGGGGGAGAAAGAAAGAATAAATAAAAAACATTAAACTAACAAACTTCTTTCATGAAGAAAACAAGTAAGAATGCTCCAGATTAACCTTAAGGAAGGCAGAGAATAATCTTCCAGTGTTCCAGACTGACCTAAACAACTTTTAGTATAACAGTCTACAAAGAAAGGTCATCAGGCTCCTTAAAATGTGCTCCAAGTACTAAATGTACAATGTACAAATTTACAGTACAGAGGAAGGAAAGCTCTTTTATACGATACAACAACATTTAAACAGACTTAATCTTCAGTAACGCTTAGGATGAATCTCCAACAAGTTCATAAATTTCAGCTATTTGTTTGGAATAATCATAGATTTGGAGACAAATAACCCTTCCCATCAACCTGAACTGTTCTTAAAACGAAAATTAGTTTTCCATACAAATCTGCCAAGTCATCTTCAGGCACTGGTGGTAATAATGGCAGAAACACACAACACCCACCTGAATACAATGCTTATTACAATACTTATCTTTTAATGTTTTAACTTCTTAAGACTACCAAAAGGTTTACAGAGATTTCTTTCACCCGTTTTGCAGTTTCTTCCTTTCCGATATGCTTTGTGTGCTATATAACGTTAGTATTTTACCAATCTTCCAGTGCAAGAAACATCAGGTAGAGAACCAACTGATGCGACCAACTTTAAACCCATATTGACCTAGATTGTGTAGGGCAAATTTCAACATTTTCTTCCCTATAGCTGCCTTGCCCACCTGCTGGGGCACAACACAGCAAGCATTCTCCCTCCTCCCGGTACATAACACAAGCACCTCCCGGCCACTGTGTGTCAGGTGTAACATGAATACAGTCGCCAGACTAGAGATTAGCAGGTAACCTTATCCTGAGCTTCTCTGTAACATTACCACTCCACTGGTAGTGAAGAGCAGCCTCCTGCACCTGGCCTGAGCACGAGGCTGCTCTTCACATCAATACCTTTGAATTTACCTCATCTCTTGATCTATCCTAGTAATTCAAGTTTTAATGTTAGTGTTGACGCAGAAATGTCTTACTCTTCACTTCAGCACACAACCTTTCCTGTCTACCGTGACACGGGTCTCTGAAGATAATGAACGTTCCTTTATTAACACTAAACCTGTCCAAATCATGTCGCCTACCTGGCCAGTAAGCACCAAGACTCACCAGCCTCATAAATGTCTACCAGGAAAGTGGAAAGGAAATAAGAAAATAGTAAATCTGGCCAAGTCTCGAGGCCGAGCTCGTAGAGTGCAACAACTCCCGAAACTCTCTTTAGGTGAGTGAGAGTTAATGTAGTGGTGGTGAGGCTGGCCTCGGGGTGTGGGGCCTCGGGGTGTGGGGCCTCGGGGTGTGGGGCCGCGGGGTGTCGGGCCGCGGGGTGTGGGGCCGCGGGGTGTCGGGCCGCGGGGTGTCGGGCCGCGGGGTGTCGGGCCGCGGGGTGTCGGGCCGCGGGGTGTCGGGCCGCGGGGTGTGGGGCCGCGGGGTGTCGGCCCGGGGGAACACCACTCCTACCTCCGTTACCTCACTTGTCACACAACACACACTCCTCAAAACCTTCTACTCGACATCAAGTACATCCAAGTAATTTAAAACTTCAACTTTTTAAAAGATGATGAAATGCATTCTGACCTGTTTTAATATTTACTTTGAGAAGGGATGCACATACGTAAAACATTGAGGTGTCGGATATTAAAGTTCGTAATTTCAGACAGACAGACAGATCAACAACAGACAGTATGAATACACACTCCACATGCAGTTTCAAACGTAGATATAAGAGTCCAACAGGCGCGGAAATCTGCACACTAGATGACTGAAGGTTAAGAGGTGGGGACCAAAGAGCCGAAGCAAGCACGATTAGGCCAGAACAATAAAATGAACTTGCAGTTCCTAATATTCTCCCGTTTGTACATACGCGTGTCATGGGGAAACACCAACAGGAAATCTGGAGAAAGCTCTACAGGTTACCCGCAAATCCTCCCCTCCCTCTCCTCCAGACAGGTCACCCCCTCCCCCCAGCAAACACGGGTCACTAACCCCCAAACCATTACAATCCCCCTTCCCCTTCCCCCCTTTAGCGCACCCCAGCTCGCCCCAGGCAACCCCCAAACACCTGCAATCTATCTGCAGTGTTTTTCACAAAGTTATTGTCAAGTCACATTCTCAAGCAGATTTGACAAACCAATGGAGAACTGAGAGTAAAGTTGCACTAGAGGAAGCGAGTCGTTGCATAACCAACCACGCGCATGCGCAGAGGGGGATTGTAGACTTTCTGGGAAAAACTGGGGGAAAAACTAAGAAAAAGAGTCCGAGAAATGGGGACTAATTCCGTCCAAGCAACGCTGCTGGGGCAAAACACGATGATGGAGTCACAAATACTTAAATTTGGGAAGCAACATGATTTTAGGAGTAGACATGATCCTATCACGAGAGGCACACGCTACTATGTAAACATCAGCGGTGTATGCAATGCTGGCACACACACACGCGTACGTAGCCTTCAGCCAGCCTAGATAAGAAAGCTCTTGGAACACTGCACACTACCCGTGTTAGACCTGTACAATTCTGGGGTACCAACCTAAAATAAGTCCCAGAACAAAACAGGAGAAAGTTCAAAGGCGTGTTGCGTGACCAGTCCCTGAACCCTATGTTGAAAAAAAGAGCACGAAAAAGAGGTGATAGGATCACGAAATCCCCCCCAACACAAATACTCACACATTCTCACGTGCAAGGGTTAGAAAGACAGTGGTGAGAGAGTAGAGAGTAGAGAGAATGTAGAGAGCAGAGAATTCATAGAGAACAGAGTTGAGAGAGCACAACTGGTGTCCCCCCCCCCCCCCACACACACACACACACACACACACACACACACACACACACACACACACACAGACATGATAACCACCTACAAAATTCTCAGGGGAATTGACAGGGTGGACAAAGACAAACTCTTCAGCACGGGTGGGACACGAACAAGGGGACACAGGTGGAAACTTAGTACCCAGATGAGCCACAGAGACGTTAGAAAGAATTTTTTCAGTGTCAGAGTAGTTAATAAATGGAATGCACTAGGAAGTGATGTGGTGGAGGCTGACTCCATACACAGTTTCAAATGTAGGTATGATAGAGCCCAGTAGGCTCAGGAATCTGTACACCAGTTGATTGACAGTTGAGAGGCGGGACCAAAGAGCCAAAGCTCAACCCCCGCAAGCACAATTAGGTGAGTACAATTAGGTGAGTACAAAATATGCCAAAACTAGAAGACAGAAGAAAAAGAGGTGATATGATCACTACGTACAAAATGGTAACAGGAATTGATAAAATCGACAGGGAAGATTTCCTGAGACCTGGAACTTCAAGAACAAGAGGTCATAGATTTAAACTAGCTAAACACAGATGCCGAAAAAATATAAGAAAATTCACCTTCGCAAATAGAGTGGTAGACGGTTGGAACAAGTTAAGTGAGAAGGTGGTGGAGGCCAAGACCGTCAGTAGTTTCAAAGTGTTATATGACAAAGAGTGCTGGGAAGACGGGACACCACGAGCGTAGCTCTCATCCTGTAACTACACTTAGATAATTACACACACGGAGCATTATAAATGTCCCAAAAGTCCAAGCAACCGCTAACCAATTCTAGGCGCCACTAAAATAACCGCATAACGAAGTATACTCTCACAAAATGACCGAGAGGTGATAATACCAGACATTCTTATACTCTCACTGATTTAAAAGTGGATATGTAGAATTTTGTGCGATTCTAAACCCGGAAATGGAACCGGGTATGAGAGGCACGCGTTCTGTTCACATGTTTTGGAGGCGATGCTATCCTCATGGCGGCCAGCTCACTCAATGTGCCGCTCAGCTCAGGGAATACCTGCAATAATCTGAGATAATTCCTCCCACTGTCAACCACAGAGCAAGCCATCCACGGAGTCAGCCAGCCCAACACGTACCCAGCCACTGAACATAAAGGGCGTGTGGCCAAGGGTGAAGGAATGTAGTTAGGGGGGCTACATGGATGAAGTTATTGGGTAGTCTTGGCGCAACTTTTCATGCTGGTAATGATGCGCATGTTGTCACACACCTGTGGATTGCCTGTTGCAGGTTCCAAGAGTCGTCGTATTTTTTATTGTGCTAATTACTACTTCATAAAGCCGCCACAACCTTGGTCGATCAAATACATCCTGCAAAAATGAGGTGAAATATTTCGACGAAAGAGAAACTCCCCGACACCCCCCGCTACCATTGCCCTCATACCTGGGTATCTGGATCATACCTGGAGTGGGCACTGGGTTCTGGGAGCAATTCTTCTTCAAGCCCGGCCCGAAGTCAGGGTTGACTTGTGAAAACTTGGTTCACCACTGATGCTTAGAGCGGCGTACAGGCCCAGGTATCTATCCACTACAACCCGGTTGGTTTGGCACTTCTTGCAGGAACACGTCTAAGGTTTTTTGTCAATACATGTTGAAATACTTGAAGAACTTTACAAAGACCCGCAGTTCCATGCAAGAAAGCAAGTTTAGCTACACTACCAAAGGCACACATCGTGTCAGCAAGACGGACAGGCCGCCAGCTGTCACACCTCGTAATATATTTCCCATTTCTAAACTTTCCCCCTTCACCTGCACCATATTCTTTAACCCCTCTTCCCTTCCTAAAAAAACAAATGAGGAATTTATCATCTATGCGATCAGCACTCGCCTCTAGACACCAGCTTCAGCTTTCAGAGCCGCAGGGGTCAGGGGTCAGGGGTCAGGCGCCTACCTTCGCCTGTATGGGCGGGGGTAGGCTTTCAGGGCCTAAAATGGCGGAAGGTTGGGAGCGGCCACCGCCCTTTCCTGGCATTGTGGGTGTGTCCCACCCATACCAGGAGAGCGTGCCTGTAGAGGGGTTCAGGAGTTCAACTCCCGCGAGCGCAGCCTATGGCCAAGCTCGACTTGTGATAACCCTGAGTGGCCCGCAGGCCCAGATAGCCACTACAGGTCC